AAACCCCCGACATTAGGTCCTCATTTTTCCCCTCCCTCCCCACTCCCCCCTCCCACATGAGCCCTTGATAGTTTATAAATGGGTATTTTGTCATATCTTGCCCTATCCGACGTCTCCCTTCATCCACTTTTTGGTTGTCTGTCCCCAACAGGTTCATTCTTATATTGCTCATGGCAAAGCAAAATGGTTCAAATTCTGTGAGAACTATTTGTCTATTTCACTCAGAATTGCAAATGCCAATATCATGACCAGCTATTTACCCACAGGTATACTAACAGATAGGAACCCTGGTGGTATGCTGGACTGTTAAGATGAGGCTGACTGTTCCCAAAAGATTTACAGCTTTGGAAATGTTCTAAATAGGACTTGCTTCCACAGCAGATTTTTTTCTGTTAGTATAGACACAAAAATGTTCTTACAGCAGTGGTTCTCAACCTTCCTAATGCTGTGAATCTTTAATATAGTTCCCCATGTTGTGGTGACCCCCAACAATAAAATTTTTTCATTGCAACTTCACAACTGTAATTTGCTACTGTTATGAATCATCATGTAAATATCTGATATGCAGGATGTATTTTCATTGTTACAAATTGAACATAATTAAAGCATAGTGATTAATCACAAAAATAATATGTAATTGTATATTGTGAAATACTTATTTCTAATTACAAATAAATGAAATTTTGATTTGAAGCATTGTGTAGCATAGGTAACTGTCTTAATATAACATTTTGTGACAGTATGTGTAAAAAGCCATCATCAGTGCAAAGGTTGAGAGAGCTTCTTTCTCACCAGATCAGAAATTCTTGGGGCAGTCTTTGCAAGAGCATAACAAAGATCATCTTCCACAAGTCTACTTCTGTATTTAGACTTGATAACCAACATGCTGGAAAATCCTGTTTCACAAAGATATGTTGTTGGAAATGGTAGAGGAAGGCTCAAAACAGTATCAGACAGAACAGGATATGACTGAAAACATTTGATCCAGAATTTTGTAACTGGCATTGTAGAGAAATCAGTTCTTACTGCATCACTGTTAATAAGTTCAATGAACTCTTGCCCTGTCTCAGGAACATCTTCAACTTAGACCATGAATGGGCTCCTGGCAAGTGCAAATGGGGTGTCAGGGTGTACTTTCATTGGAAAGTACAATGAAACTTCATCTGCAAGCATGTGCAAGTGTTCTTTCACAGAAATTATCATCGTATCCTTTTGTCTGGTTTAATGTCATGCTCCTCAAAGAAAGCAGATAAGGTAGACAACATGTAAATTTTATTTTCATCTAATTTTTTTTCCCAAAGTTGAAGTTTCATTTGGAATGATAGGATCTTTTCAGACAAATCGAGGCATGTTGCACTTGGTCCTTGCAGTGATACATTTAACTCAATCAAGATGGCAAAGATGTCAACCAAGTAAGATATTTTCTACAGTTCGCTTTTATCGCTGAAAAGTACTTCAAACTGCAGTCTTGCTTTCTGATTAAAATATGTTTTGGGTTCATCACGAAGCTCCAAAACACGTTTTAAAACTTTTCCTCTCAACAACCATCTCACTTCAGCATGAAATAGCAGAGTATTATTCAAGGCATCCAACTCGCTGCAGAGTTGCGAAAACAGTCAACCACGTAAAGTGCTCACCTTTACAAAATTGACAGAACTTATGACGCTTTTCATTACTTCTTATAACTCTTGTGGCAGCGTCTTTGTTGCTAATATTGCCGATGAATCATATGGGGAGTTCCGATGACTTTTGGTGACTAATTCAGTACCAAACATTGAAATCCAGATCAACATCCTAGCATAGCTGTAGCATCATATGTACAAACATCAAACCTTTTCCGAAGAGATTTTATGCTCTTTCAGAAATGAACCCACTGTGTCAAATACATCATGTGCAGTAGTTGTCATTTCAGGAGATAAGCAAAAGAGAAACTCATCTTTAAAGTCGCCATCATTAATATACTTCATGTAAACCAGTAACTGTGAACAGTTTGCAAAGTCTGTAGATTCATCAAGCTGAGTGCTAAATATTGGAAGTGGTGCAGATTTAATTTCCTGGATTATCTGATTAAGAATATCAGCAGACATATCATCTATTCTTCTGTGGACAGCGTCGTTAGATAAGCAAATTACACTCAATTTTGTAACAAATTCATCTCTGATCATAACTCGAACATTGTCTTTGGTCGCTGGCAACAGTAAATCCTCAGCAATGGTGTGAGGGTTCATAGCTCAGGCGATTCTGAGTGCCACCAAATATGAAGCTTCAACGACTGCTATGTTTTGTTTGTGGTACTTGCCACCAGTGTCAAGTCTGACTTTCTTGAATCCATCAGCTTTGCTTCTAAGAATAGTTGGTATCCTTGCTGGCAAAGCTCGGATGCTTACTATCAAAATGGCGTTTTAATTTGTTCAGCTTCATAGAGTTGGCTGATAGAACTTCACAACAAATAACACATTGTGGTTTCTCAATTCCTGCTGT